CAGTTATACATTGCAACTGGGAAAACCATAGCCTTGACTTGACTGCACTTTTGTTGGCACTGATATTAGTAACCAATTTTATGTGGGTGTTCCAGAGATTATTCTTTGCTAACACAGACTCTATGATGGGAAGTGTTGGTTTTCCAGTGTACCTAGATAAGAAATTTGCTTGAAATTTTTTGGGAAAAAAAACATAACAGTTCTGACACTGTGACCTCAGAGAGATGCTACCAGTGTTCCTAGATACAACAAGATGTACACTGCAGGTGTGACAGGTCCCCTACTGTCTGTTTGTTGAATTTGGTTGCATAATACAACCATGAATTATTCCCTTTGGGTTAAGGCTGTATATGCCACACACAACATTTGCTTTAACTCTGATTTGCTGCCTATTAACCTCCAGCCTTCCATCCATATGGCATCATCTCAAAGCTTGAAATGCGCTTCCAAAGAATCAGATGGCTGGTCTTTTTGTGTTTGCTCATTATTATTATCATCCTTCCAGTTTCATTTCATGCACAATAAAATATGCTGAGTGCCCACTCATCTTCCAGATTGTTCTACTATTTATCTCTGAAAAGCAAAGAACAATGGTTGACATATTTCTTTTTCTACAGCGCGGGCCCAATTTAATTGTCTACATGAGTAATTTTATTTTGACAATGTATATTTCCCCCGAGCTTCTAAAAGTCATCTTTCAAACAGCAAAGACTGTACTCTGAAACATTTGTTTTAACATATTAATTAAATATTAGAAATAAACATACTTAGTTACTTCTTTGTTCCTTTTGCCTTCTTGTGCGTTCTCATCAGATTGTTAGCTTGATTTTTAGTTCTTTTATAAATAACCCATGGTGTTTTAAGAAGCATCTCACAAGCTGATGAGCAGTAGTACTGAAATCTTGAAAAATATTGTATTAAGATAGCAAAATAATAGAGTAACAGGGTAGGAAGGAACCTTGGAGATAATGAAATCCTTGAGTTGCATATGTTTCCATTTGGTTGGTAACAAGAATCTAATGGGAACCCTAAAAGTGGTTCTTCTTTCTTCCCAGAATTAAGATGATGTTGTAGCATAAGTGTAGGCATGCATAGCTATGCTGGAACACGTATACAACAGCAGTAATCATTTACCATAAGACCAGAGGTCACAACCTGTTAACTCTCAGCACTAAGTAGGTCAGAGATCACAACTCTTTAACTCTCAGCATTAACTAGGGGTCAAAAGTTTGCATGCTGACTCTGCAGTATTAACTAGGGGTCAA